ACTTTAAATGAGCTGACAGCGGTGATAAAGAGATAATAATTAATATCTTCCATATAAATAAAAATTGCAACTTATTATTTATCAAAAAAACTGATTCAGATTCATCAAAAAGTGTATGAAGTATATAATTTTGATATTAATGTTTTTCTAAAATTGCTTTGACCCCTATTAATTAGACTTTTATATGAAATCATTAATTTTGTTGATTAAATTGAGATTTTTTTTATTTGTAACCCGCCCCCCCCCCTTAATTTAAACTTTATATTAAATCATTATTTTCAGATTTTTTTTTATTTGTAACTCTGTGCTTTATGTATAAACTTCATGCTTTACAAATTATTTTTAATAAATGTTTGATTAAACTTAATGTGTATTACGCCAGGTAGTGAATGAAGAAACCATACCAGGCCTTCCTCTGTCTTTCTGTATAACTAGTATAACTGCACAAACTCTTTGCGCACAGTTATACAAACAGACATTACTCATTATTCAATATAGACAGATAGAAAGATAGCCGAAAAGATAGATAGATTTATATTGATGGATAGATAGGTAGTCAGATAATAGATAGACGGATAATTGAAAGGCAATATAGTCTAACCAGCATCGTAATGCACCTATACTCAATATACTTTCCATGATACTCATTATTATACTCATACAAGGGGGGGGGGGGAGCCGTTTATTCCTTGCTAATTTGTATACCTCCAGTGCCAAGACAAAATTCTCGAAATTGACAATCTCTAGATGCATTCTAATAAATTCCAATGATTATTAAATATCTCTTCTGCTCCCAGACGTCGAGATTTTTTAAATTTTATTTAGTGTTTATTAGATCTATGCAATTTTTAAAAAAAGTTTAAACAAGAACAGTCTTTGGTGGGATTCAAACAGGATTCTGAGGGGTTGAAAGAGGGTTTCGAGGGGTTTGAACAGGGTTCTGCTAACTACCTGGGTTCGAACAGGATATTGCAGGGTTCATGGCCGCATGGCCCCCCCTCCCTAATTGGACAAGGGGAGGAAGGTCAACCACAAGAATTTCTCGTCCAAGCCACATTTTCTCCATTTTCTCGTCTGAGCCACCTTGAAATCCTCGTGCCTAATCCTTCCAGATAAAACTATCTTTTAATAATCAAGCCATCGTAAGGGCATAAATGAAATATCAACTTTTTGTAAAGCGAAAAAAAAAATTTTAATTGAAGATTTCTAGTTAAAATCTTTAAAAATGTTCAGATATTCCTGCTGTAGAATGCTGCAAATAATTCCAAGTATATAGAACTTCATTATTTTTTGTTAACTATAGTGAAAACCAGTGTTTCGGATCCATATCATTTTGATGCGGATCCGGATCCTGACTCTGATACGGATCCGGATCCGGATACGAGGTAAGATATATTTATATCGATATATTAATAATTAATATAGTCTAATTCAGCCCTAGCTTGTTCCGATCACGTTCATCTTTTAAAAATGAATACTTTATATATTTGAAATTTGCGCCATGTGAGCATTTGCCGCTGAGTAATCCTAAAGTTAAAAATGTCGTCATTACTATTATATAAATGTAAACATTAAATTATTAAAGATAATTTTGAAAAATTTTCAGTTTTACTACATTTACTTATTTAGNCGTTTCCTGATACGGATCCGGATCCAGATCCGACCAAATGATACGGATCCGACCGGATCCGGATCCGAAACACTGGTGAAAACCATAGAATATTTCTGGGTGGTTCCATGGGGAAAATGATAGTCGGAGGTATGCTGAATATTTTGCTATTTATTTTATATCACGAAGGTTAGCTATTATGGAGGCAGAAGAGATTTAAGTTTTACCTAAATAAAGTTTGACATCATTCTCATGGGTTTGAAGATTTCAACATGATGTAATCATTTCAAACCTTAGTCCATCCATATTTTATGCCCTTACGTGGCCAGATAAAAAAAAAAATAGTTTTATCGTCAAGAATTGGAAACTTTTTAGGATTCCGAGGTGGCTCGGACGTGAAAATGAGGAGAATGTGGCTCTGACGAGAAATTGTTGCGGCTGGCCTTCCTCCCCTCATTGGACAGACCGGTCCGGACTTTACGCTTTCTGCGCATGCTAAACACAAGTAAGGTAAACTGTAAAGTTAGGTAGTCGTCAGTCGAGTCCGCGTAGTTGTTAATGTTATCTTGTGTTCACTGTTCAGTTACAATGTTCACTCCTTAGGCTTCTATCGTTTTGTTATGTAAACTAAAGAAAATATAAATCGTTAATTCTGGTTATACTTTTGTAAACTTATATAAGTACTTAATGCAAGATCATTAATAAAAGGACATTTTTAACATTAAAAGGTTAACTGCACTGGTTATAATTGTTGTAAATATGCAAATTAGTTCTATATTGTATCAACGATGTCTTACTAAGATTTAAAGCTACATAGAGCTTTAAGATGCGTCAAAAGGACCCCACCCTGTCAAGTGAAACATGTCTTAGCTATTGCAAGCGGAACCCCCCCCCCCCGCACCCTTACTGCCTCCCTCAATAAGATGGAAACAATACATAATAAGAGGTCTTTAAAGGTAAAATGAACCATATTTTTTTTCGTGGTCAAAATTACATGGGTCTTTCCTAGAGAACGCTGTACAAATGTTTAATAATCAGATAAATTTGATAAATGTTTACATGATTTAATATGATGCATTGTGTAATGTCAAATTTTGTTTCAGAACATAAAGTTCGAAATGTCTAAGTCTACGACATCAGGTGGGTTTTCTCTAGGAAATTACCCATCAGGTTTCAAAGAGTCTCAAAAACATAACAATTTAATAAATAATGTTTGATGTCATTGTTAAATCCTCTATAAAAACAGTTGCTTAATGGGACTGTAAGCGTAATTTCAAGTGACCGTCCATGCAAAGATAGCGCAATGCCTGATTTACAAACAAAATCTGATCAAAAATATGGAAGAAACATTCTTTTTTTCTGACTCAAAAAGTGTTTCTTTCTGGTGGTTTCTCCGTTGCGTCTTAAAAACAAAGAATGCGCAATCACTTTCGCAGAGAAACTTCAAATAAAAGAACAGTTTAAAGAAAAAAATAAACATAATAAGCTTTCAAGGGTGCCGTTGTAAATCGGGCATGTGCATCTTTGCAAGAAGGGTTAATTGAAGTTAGGCTTACAGTCCCTTAATTTTGGGATATAAAGTGATAATATCCATTAGAAAGTAGATTAAATGGATAAATATAGAAAAAATCTAACAATATGTTTCGATAAACAGATTGATAGAAAGATTACAGGCTATGTTAACCTCAAATGTCCAAACTGGAAAATAAAATGATATTAAACTTTCAGGACTTTTTTGTTTTCCATGTAAGTTAAAATTGTATAAACTTTTCCTGGAAATATATGATATATTAACCACAGCAAATTTGGGCCCGATCAGTTCAGTTTTAGCGCTTAAACATTTAATGAACAAAAAAAGCCCTTTTCTTATAGACATATCTCTCAAGATATTGCCAAATGCTCTTAAATAAAGCTGGACCTAAGTGCCTCACAGCTTTGAAAAGTCAATATCAAGGACTTTTTGTTGCTTTGTTTATGTTATCATAGATAGATATATATATAGATAGATATATAAATTGAGAAAGAGAAAAAAATTTAAGCCCCCCCTGGACAAATTCCTGAATACGCCCCTGATCTTTACAACTGGATTATTCATTGCCGAAGGCTTTTTTCAAAACAAGCCAAAAACTAGCCTAGGCCGTACCTAATACCCAGGTATCTCCTGATATCTTTNGGGGGGCTCAACCTTTTTTAATCTCCAGAGTGGGGGCTCAGCCATTGACCCTCAGTCGGTACGGGACACATAACTTGCATATATTTAAGCTTGAACCTTGAAATCACACCTTTCATCATTTTCCTTTGCTCCAAAGAACTCAAGTTATCTTTGAAAAAAAAGTTAAGAGAATAAAATAATGTATTGCCCTTATCTCAAACTTCCTTTTTATACTGGGGAAATGTTTGGAGAGGAGGGGCTGTAGTTTTCCCTATAAAAGTCAACCAACTTGCAACCAAGAACTTTTTAACCATGTTAAACACATTCCCTTGGTTCTACCGAGTTCAACGATCAAAACTTAAGCCAAATCTGTCAAGGGGTTCATGACTCAAATTAGAATTATGATCGGACGCACGAACTAAAGATAAATAAAGACAAATAAAAGAAACTTGATAATTATAAATGGCGAGTAAGTATCCTCCTTGCAGTGGTCATGCTTTAGTACAATAAACTTCATACAGGGTTACCCACAAAGGATGGGACTTTATTAACGACCATAAACTGTTATTCTGAAAATCTAATGGATAAATTTGGTCTTAATATAGTTTTTTTTTCAGATATGCTTCAAATTACATAAAAGTTCAAATTTACATAATTTAGCTATTAAGACAGAAGTCTGCACACATTCCGTACAGTCGTCTTTGAAGTCGCATTCTTGTAGGCAGAGCTTATGATCCATTTAATTTTTATGCGAATCCGGATCCGGATCCTGGATCCACACTGGAAAAAAAGGATCCGGATCCAGGTCATTTCTTTAAGATTTACTGAATTTTTTTAACAACAAGTAATTTACAAATGTTTATATTTTTTTCGCTTATTTTGTCCTAAAACTTGATGAACCATTCAGAATTAAGGAAATTTTTATTATCAATTTTTGGTTGATATTTTACCCCTTGGATCCGGTTCCTTGGATCCGTATATTTTTGCGGATCTGGAGCCGGATCCAGGAAGCCAAATCTTGCATATCCAACGGATCCGGATCCTAAGCACTACTTGTAGGTAACCCCATCGAGATATTACAAGAACAAAACCATAAAATCAAGCATTTTTTATTCTAATTCCATGATATCAAATTATTTTTATGATTGAGATAGTTCTGATTTGGTCTTTTTGAATCTATAAAAAACTACCGAAATCTTAATTGTTCTTTTTTACGCAATGAGACAATTTTTATAATCTAAAGTTTTACTTAATTTCAGATAGAAAATGGGTAGCGGAGCATCAAAGGAAGAGTTGAGGACTAGAGATGTCGTCGTTATTGGAGCAGGATATGGAGGCATACAGGTTAAATCAAGGGTTATTAAAGGGACTGTAGAAAAAACCCTGAACTGATTTTAAATTTTGTGCAGATATTGGCTTTTTCTGTCTTAAAAACCTTAAAAAATTTATTCCTTTGTTGTTTTGTCTATTTAAGAAAAAAAAAAATTGTCAAGAGACATCATCGATAGATAGATAATAAGACAAAGCTTTTAATTGTGTCCCTTTAATTTTAATCGTGTCCCTTTAATTTTAATTGTGTCCCTTTAATTTTAATTGTGTCCCTTTAATTTTAATTGTGCCCCTTTAATTTTAATTGTGTCCCTTTAATTTTAATTGTGCCCCTTTAATATTAATTGTGTCCCTTTAATTTTAACTGTGCCCCTTTAATTTTAATTGTGCCCCTTTAATTTTAATTGTGTCCCTTTAATTTTAATTGTGCCCCTTTAATTTCAATTGTGTCCCTTGAATTTTAATTGTGCCCCTTTAATTTTAATTGTGTCCCTTTAATTTTAATTGTGCCCCTTTAATTTTAATTGTGTCCCATTAATTTTTATTGTGCCCCTTTAATTTTAATTGTGTCCTTTTAATTTTAATTGTGTCCCTTTAATTTAAATCGTGTCCTTTTAATTTTAATTGTGTCCCTTTAATTTTAAGTGTGTCCCTTTAATTTTAATTGTGTCCCTTTAATTTTTATTGTGCCCCTTTAATTTTAATTGTGTCCCTTTAATTTTTATTGTGCCCCTTTAATTTTAATTGTGTCCTTTTAATTTTAATTGTGTCCTTTTAATTTTAATCGTGTCCTTTTAATTATAATTGTGTCCCTTTAATTTTAAGTGTGTCCCTTTAATTTTAATTGTGTCCCTTTAATTTTAATTGTGTCTCTTTAAGTTTCGTCTACAACATTCATGGACTTTTAAAGAGACTGTAGGCGTGACTTTAAGTTACGTCTACTACATTCATGGACTTTTAAAGAGACTGTAGGCGTGAATTTAAGTTTCGTCTACAACATTCATGGACTTTTAAAGAGACTGTAGGCGTAAATTAAAGTTTCGTCTATATACAACATTCATGGACTTTTAAAGAGACTGTAGGCGTAAATTTAAGCTTCGTCTATATACAACATTCATGGACTTTTAAAGAGACTGTAGGCGTGAATTAAAGTGACCTTCAATTTTTAAACTGACATGACATGCCCTATACACAATAATACCCTTTAAAAACACCTTTATCTGCTCACAAACTTGTGAAGATTTCGTTTTTTCATAGCTTGAAAAGTGTTAAATTCTCACATTTTCGTTCGGTGCTTCTGGAGGAAGATATCCGCAAGTTATTATTAAAAGTAACAACAATTGAAAATAAACAATTTTTTAAGTGAAATTATGGATATCTCATTCATTCTTGATCAGGCAAAGGGTACCGTTGTGAATTAGACATGCCATTATATTATTACAATAAAGGCATTTTTAATGACCTTATATTTTAATGTAAGTTATTTTAGTAAAACTTTGTATTTGATCAAGATTTAATGAGAAGTTTATGTTTTTAATTTTAAAAATTGATAATTTTCAATGTGGTTACTCCATTAAAGTGACTTGTTGATTTTGGCCAAAGAAACAATTGAGGACCTTCAGACTTTTGAAAAATTTTGTATCTCCAACGTTTGCTTTTAATTTCTCCTGTGGCAACTCTTCAATTTGAGGAATGAGTAATTGACCTCTGAATTCAGATGCGGATTATAGCTTGATCCATGGGATTAAATATACAACAAATTTGACCTCAGATAAAACATTTTTTTAAGGCGGCGCTGTCTTTGAAGAAGGCTGGAATACCGTTCAAGATCATCGATCCTAAGGAATTAAACGTTTATAACAGATATCAAGAATTTATTTCAAATTAAGTTAGACTTTTTTGAAAATGCATTAGCCATAAACAGTAAACAGCATGCTTAATTGCTTAAGACCCGTTTACTTTTGATATATTTTTTTTAAAAGCAACAATAAGATTTTAAGGGTAAAATGAGTAAGTTTTTGGTAAAAAATAGGAAAAGTAGAAAAAAGTGTGCATTTTGATGTCAAACTTTTATTTTTCATCCCAGATCTTCTGCTGGGGGGGGGGGATTTTTCAAATAAACATCACTAATCGGGACTAAAAAGGCTTTAAAAGGATATAAAAAAAAACAATTGTGATTACATTGGGGCTCACTCATATATTTCTGAATTACAATAATACATATAAAAATGTATAATATTTTCCTTATTTCTAAAATGTTTCATGCTATAGGAGTATTTTCATCATTGCGTAGGAGCTCTTAGAGCATCTGTATTTCCAGGTAGAGGTTTGAATAGAATTTAAACAAATTATTATATTAGTAAATAAAATTTGTGCACGAACCTATTTTTCCAGATTTTTTTTATCATAAAGTAAAACAAAAATAAAAAATATTTTTTTAGAGTATGCTAATAAGGTGGCAATACCACTCAAGGAAGCTTTTGGAACTAGTTTCGTTCAGGGCAAAGCTATAAGCTTGGATACAGAAAAGTAAGTTTCAAAAGTCATGTTTTCGTATATTCTTCTCGGGGAAATTATACGTTGATCACTTCACCAGTGCACGGTATCGAAAATACGCAAAATGTTAGTTTAGTAAAGAAGAACGAAGAATAAATGGTGGATTGAAAAGCAACATGAAAAGGCTAAAATTGTTACTAGATAAAGGGGCAAGCCTAGTACTACAATATTACAATAAAACATTAATCTTTAAAAAAAACAATAATATGATATTACAATATTCTAGCAAAAGTTTGAAGCTTGAAGATGGTCAGGAGCTGAAGTATACTCATTGTATCATTGCAGTTGGTAGCTTAGGTCCTATACCTTGCAGGTCAACACAGGTAATCAATATAATAAAGCTCTTCGCTCATATACATTTATTTATATTATGTTAGCCAAACATCTAGACTAAATTGGCAGATTTTTTTGAGGGAACCCATGGGTGGGAATAGGCTTTAAAAAATTCTAACGGTCAACGAGCAAGGTCGGTCACTCAGCTTGTAATAATTAAAATGCAAATAAAAAAACGTGGGGAGGGTGGGGGCTAATAAAATAAAAATCATAATGAAAAATTCTAGATGATACTTAAGGCTTTATAAAAAAAACATAAATAACAAAAAAATATGATTATTTCAGACTTCAATATCTGGTTTAACTGAAGAGTATAAGAATATATCAGAAGAAATCTCCAAGGAAACCATTAAAATACTAAATAAAAAAATATATTACTTAGACTTAAACTGCATTTTGAAAGAAGCCTCTTCAAAAATAAGTTTTTGTCAGGTTTTGAGTTTAACATACAACAAAAATTTCTTTTTTCTTTTTTTTCCTTCAGGTTTTAAAAACAATTTTTTAATGAGATTTGGTGAGGTTTTGAGTTTGAAATACTTAAAAATATTTCTAGTTTCATTCTAAAATAAGTTTCTTTAAAAATATGATTTTATTAAGATTTTGGGTTATAAATAATTATCAAAGGAACATTTTTTTTACTTTTAGCTTCATTTTAAAATTAGGGTTTCCATCAAGATTTTTGTTGAACAAAATTCGCGAAAATGAATGAACGAAATTTGTTCATTTTTGTTCAAAATTGTTGCCAATTTCGATTTACTTTCGATGACATTTTCGACCTCATTTTCGCGAAAATTTCCTCCATTTTTGCGAAATGTTTGTTCAATTTTCGTTCGATAAAAATCGATTTTGCATTTTCACTTTATTTAATAGATAAGGTAAACTAGCAAATAATCCCAGAAAACTATAATTTCTTTATATTTTATTTTAAAAATCTTATGTATGAAAACTGATAAAATAAATTGTTATCAGTGATTTTCTTCATTTCTATTTTCACATCTATCCGTGTTTAGTGTTGAATCCTGAATGTATAAGGTTACGCACAAAGGATGAAATTTCAATGACAACCTGAAAATCTTTAACCCTATCATAAATGTCTAGGGNTTAAAACGTCTTGCATTAGAACGCTGAAACTTCTACACTTTTTCAACATCATGGTTGTTAAAAAAAATTTTGGCAAATTTTTTTATAGTAGGGTGGAGGACAATTAAACGGGGAGTCGATGTTTCAAAAAAATCAGAAATTCTCATTAACTTTTTTATTAATTAACCTACAGGGCAAACAATTATAAATTTGAAAAGCCATTGAAAATTGTAATAATATGTGTCATATGTTGATATTTTAAAAATTAAAAATAATTATTTTTAAACATATTTTAGACATATTTTTTTAACTTATTTAAAATCCTCCCTTGCACCCCATAACCATCAAAGTTATAGGTATTGTTTTTAATCAGCAGGCCTCGAAAAGTTAGACTAAGGACATGTAACACAGTCCCCTATCTTAACTCGTAAGGGCAAAATCAAAGTCTATATTAGACAAATATAGCCCAGCCAGGATAGGGTTGACTATGCAAATCTGAAGGTTGAAGTTGGCTTTTCTATTTTGAAAATAGTTCGTGAATGGTGTATCCAATGATTTTGCAAAGAAAAAAAAAATAAGTTTAAAGATGCAGGAACATTCTAGAACCAACGAAGACGTAACAAATTCTGATTGTTGTTTCTGATCCTTTGTGGGTAATGCTGTAATATAGTCTGACTGGTTCGTCATTCTTGTTAAAACTTAAAAGTTAATTTAATATACAGACGAATTATCAACTAAACACGACGATTAAAAATGGCTGAGTATCATATATTTGATGTGAATCTTTGGTAAATAATCTATAAGAGTTAAATTTTATTCAAATATTTCTGCAACGACTGCTATGTGTAAGGAATGTTAAAATTTGCAAATTTATTTGTCAACTTTGACTTCAATTAAAAAAATTATTCCAAACGAATTTCGCGAAAAAATTCTAACAAAAATTTTCGTTTTCGTTTAATTTCTCGTTGCCTGAACAAAATATTTCGCTTAACTTCATTTTAAAATTAGTTCCTTTTAAAATCAGGTTTTAATGAGGTTTTGAGTTTAGGCCCGAAGCATCATGATAGTAGGAGCTGGAGCAGTTGGAGTAGAGATGGCGGGTGAGAATTTAATCGAAATTAGATATATTAGGGAGATCTTGCCCCTATTCAAAATTTAAACCTCAACCCTTCGCCCTTCTTGGCATCATTTTTAATGCAGGGCTTGGAAATCATGCAATATCGATGCAGTGAAAACTGAAAAACTGGATCCAACTTTGTTTGAGTAATTTCTGCGTAGAAAGTGAAGAAATGGAGTTCTTGCCACCAACTGCATTTTTCTAATCTCTACTGCAACCTGATGAAGTAAACCTTTCATTTTTCAAAATTAGACTATTTGATCTCTGTTCAAATTCATAGTTTTAAATATCAACAGTCTTCGAAATCGGGTTCAAAGATATAGAGATTATAAAATCTGATTTTGTGACAAGAAAGTTCTACTCCTTGCTAGGTAGACAAAGGTAAAAAAAAGGATGACATTTTTCACAATTACTTAAATTCTAAGCCGATCCAATTGCAAGATTTCCAAACGCTACTTAAAAAATATGTATAATGTATACAGCATGGTTACGATATGTCAACTTTCAGCTTGCAGATTCACACATATTCTCAAGGTTATAATGCAAAGAAAGTTATTTTAGAGGTGTACGCATCTTTTGTACTGCAGTGTACTGTCTCTTGGCGGTAATGTAAACACAAGACGTATGTCGAAGCCTGACATGGGATCCATCTTTCACATAAAAAAAATCAATGAAATATTCTGTTCATAGGAAACTATATTGAATCATCAAAATTATCAATATTGAATGCTTTTAACCTCCTCGGATACTAAACGAACACTCATGCATCTATTTTTGTTTACAAATTCCACACAGTTAGAACTGGTTTCATATGTACGCGCAGAGTATATGCAACTGAAATTAACTTTCCTTGCATTATAACCTTGCATATTCCGATCCCCGCAATTGCTCTTCTCTAATAAAGACAACATTTTATCTCTACACTACTTTACCCTAGGTGAGATAAGGGAGAAGTACAGTGAAACTAAGATTACTATTGTAAGTAGTCAAGAAACCCTGGTGGCAGATTTTACACCAAAGTTCCAAAAAAACATAAAAAGCATTCTGGAAGATCAAAATATTCAGGTGTGTATGTAAAAAAATTTCTTGAAAAATAATTTTTTGTTTTTGTTAATTTTGGTTGTGCGCCAATTTTTGGATCAAAGTATTGACAAGGGTGAAGGGTCTCTTAGATGTCCAATTTTTTACTATTTTACCCAAGAGCTCTAAAAAAAGAAATGATAACCGATGCTTTTCTGTGAAATAAATTCTAGATTTTTACCTCAAAATCGTTGAGATTTGAATTTTAAGAGAAAAGCATATTTTATTTAAATTGTTCTAAATACCGTTAGATGCAATTTAATATACATAGATTTGTCTTGTCTTCTCAAAAGTAGTGTGGGGGGGGGTCACGGTGACCACCTCTATTTCCTTATTGTGATACAAATCTATTACATGTGATACATGTTTGAAAAGCCCTTAAGCTCCACTTTAATGATCGGAAGTAAAAATTAGCAAAATTTTAAATATTTATTGCAAAATCAAGTTTTTTAGCAAAAAATGTGCAAAAACAAAAGGTGCGCAAACTATTATAAATTATACATTTTTAAAAAGCCCTCTACCCATCAAATTCAAATATGCAAAAATATTTGCAAAATTTTCAAAACCTAAGTGCGTGTTCAAGAAAAACTTAAATTGTGAAAATTCCCTTTTAAGGCATTTTCTGTGCAAAAATTTATGCAACATTTCTTTGCATAAAAAGTGCAATCTGCTTCCTTATGTTGTAGCTGCGTTCTATAGAGCTATAACATTTTGAAATCCAATGAATGAAAGTAGGTCTAAATTTGGATTTAATCTGGTAAAGGTCAAATAAGGCATTCAGGCAGTATGCCTCTTGGCCCTCGTCAAAAAAGGTTTCATAAAATATTGGTTATAATCTGCTCATTTGTGTCCGTTTCTAACACTTAGTGTTAGAAATAGGTCATAACTCATAACCCCATTTTGGAATCCCCCCCTGAAATTTGTATACGAGCACATCATTTCCTTGATTCTTCGGTATATGCTAAGGACATTATGTTAGATCTAATTAATTAATAAAAACATTAAACATTAAAAACATAAACTGACGATTGATCATTTATTACAAGAGTTAAATGTAGCAAGTTACAAGTTTTGGTGGATAAATAATTTAAATTTGCAAAACACACCAAGCTTGCTATCAACCTCTTTTGTATCTCTCCTAAAAATATACTTTTTACGTTTTGAAAAATACACCAACTATATAAATGTTTATATTTTGTCAGCACAATGATTTCTTTGCCCCGAAACAATCTTCGATTTATGAAATAATAAGTCAGTCTGCAGTCATGTATTACTCAAAACCATGAGGGTGATAACCATGAAAATTATTTTAACCTGATTTCTGATGTGTCCGATAGACGGTCCATAATGATAAGTGATCCTAGGCCCAAAAGTTGAAATCCTTCTCGCTTTCTATTTGTTCTCAGAGTTCTACTGATAAAAATACTACAATTAAATATATAAAAAAGGCGTTCATTTAAAATTGTTCAGATTCGCTTTATTTGATATCTAACGATAACAACCTAAAGAATAGTAAATGAACCTGGTTGTGAAGTCCATAGATTGATTATGTTTATAAACCATTTTCTACCCTCGGATGATGAAGATAACCCAAGGAGAAGGCAGGCAGTGTGAGTTATTAATTGCCTTCTTTTTCAATTGTATATATGAGTTAATAATATAGATAGATGCTTCAATTTCCACACGCAATGAGTTGACAATATATCCATTTACTTCATGTATACTTCAACAAACTTGTTTTTAAGGCACGCACTATATGTGTACGTCTCCTTACAAGCTTGGACTATACGCGACTGAGGTGCGTTTTAGATGGAACAGTGGACGTTAAATAGCGGCATTGCAAGTTGTTTATAAATTTCCTGAGGCGCCGAATATACCTAACTGGCCTGTTTTCATGAATGAACTAGGAAGTTAAATTTGCGCTTAAAATACCGTCTGCTATCCATATTTTGAAAAATTTTAAAGAAAAAACAGCAAAGCAGTTAAACCGAGGAAACAGAGGATAACAGATACACCCTTAACCCCTCTTATTGTATTCCGAATGCAGGAATTTAGTACAAACAGTTTTTCCTTACTATTCGCCGGCCCCTCATTTTGAGTTCAGAGCTCCTCAATTTCTAGCCATTGAAAAATGTGTTTTAATACACTGCAGATCCCCCCACTAAGGATCCTATAGATGTATGGACGGCCTGAAACAATATGATGATTGATGACCTTTAAGTTGAATTGACATAGCCTTATAAATATAGTCTTTGATCGGTTATCAAATCGAAAATAAGAAAACAGACAGTTTATCAATTAGGCACAGTCATCTTTTAAGTCTCATCCAGGGGCGGATATAAGGATTCTGTAGGGGGGGGTAAAAAATTTCAGTTTAACGCGCGAAGCGCGCCGAAATTTTTTTTACCCCCCCCTAGAAATTTTTTTCCCCCCCCCTAGAAAAATATCATGATGTATATCAAATTATTGGTTTTAATTGGGTTTGCTTTGCATTTTCCACTCATTTCTGGGATTTACAAACTCAATCTAATAAAGGCTTCATTACATACCTTTCAGCTTTCACCTTGTTTTAT